CGCACAGAAGCAGAAGTATAAATTTACTTTGCTTGCTATGGAGGTCTGGCGCTGACCCGCGGTACAGTCCTTATCCCAGCGGACACGTCTTCAAAAATGCCTCGTGGATTACAGCTCTTACTGCTACTATTAGCCGTGCCTTTGCAGTATTTGATATGCCAGTGGACTAGTCCATCTGCAAGCGAAAGGGTTCAGCTAATCAAACAGTAAGTTCATTGGAAAAGAACAGCTAAATCTATCACAACTCGAATGGAGAAATTTGTACATCGATCTTGTACCTTTTGGATGCTAGTTTAGGACGGTCAAGTGCAAACATGTTATTTTCAGCCAAAATCTATCTATTTTTTTCTCGTTGCTATTTTGGTAAAATTTCCGCACAGCCCCATACTAAATTATGCATTCAGTTCTTGGATAGAGAAAACAATGACAAAGACAATAAATTTTCATCGGGAAAACAGATTTTTATTTACAATAGTATGGGGCTGTGCGGAAATTTTATCGACGTGTAATCTCAAAATCTCCATTCCTTCTAAAAAGGATGAACAAAGCGAATCAATATAAACTTGACAGCATCATTTTTGTCTTGCCTCAAAAGATCACACCTCCTAATGTTATCTTCTCCTTTCCCTGCAACCCTGTTAGCTATGTATAGTAATCGGGAACATATGTTAGAGAGTGAAAAATTTTGATTTAGGCAAAGTTAGCTATGACTCTGACTATCACCAACTGTGTCACAGTGATGTTCATGTCAATTACATGTGCTTCTGTGAAGTCAGAAATAAGGATTTATAATCCTTTACACCCTAAAATCAGTATGCATTTTCTCTATATTTGTACTGTTCTTTACACATTCCCCTTGTTACTATCAAGGAAGATATGTTTAACAACCAAGATCTTCTTTAGTTAGTCATCTTTTCCTTTAATCTCACTAGTTTACTGTTTGATTTTGAAGTAAATTGCAAGGTGAAATTAGATGCTAGTCACTCATATGGGTGAAAGGGTTGAGGACTGTTCTGATTACTTATGGTTTTTACTTTTAATTAGTTTTTTTATTATTTGAGTAATGAATAGTGCTTTTTTTTTTTTTCGGCTTGGGCTTTATGCATTAATAAATTTGCTTCAACATTCCCCCCTCCCACAACCCCCCCCTACAGGCTCTGAATGTTGACTCCACCCAAGTGCTAGATTTTATTGTCAATTTTTTTTCTAAAAGGCAAAATAAGCAACTCAGACTTTCTTGAAGACATTTTTTTCTGAGCCATCTACCATTAAAAAAGTGAATTTTTTTACCTTCAAATATCTTGATATTAAAAGATTGATTCCACTGGAAGGACTTGACAACTTTGGTTCAAATTCCCACCTTAATTCAGGCAAGAATCAAATTCCCTAGCCCCAGACGATAAGGATGATAGCGTGTGGGTTTCCTAGTGAGGAGGGGAATGTTGAAGCTCCGAATTGATCAGCGCATTATCTTTCACAAACAGTATTATAAGTAAATAGTTTTCTTAAGGTACTATAAGGTTTGTATTGTGCTTTTAGACTATCAAAGCCTCTGAATCTATTCAGTGGTGGCTATATTCTGGATTGGAACAAATGGCATGACATGGTTGTCAACTGGACTCGATCTATGATTAATTTTTTGCAAGATGAAGATGGTGAATGCCCAGCTGAAGAAGTTTTTAAATTTCAAGAGAAAAATGGACACTTTGGAATGTCAACAGTTCCTCGTACTCCAAGACCAAAGCATGTGAAATTTCATGTGGGCCAAGTGATTAGACATAAACTGTGGAACTACCGTGGAGTCATCATTGGTTGGGATGAGAAACTGAAGGTTTATGTAACTGTATATTGGTCAAGTGACATGTAGTAAAGTTTGAGAACTAGGAAAACTCAGACAAGTATAATTCAGCTCTCTCTCTCTCTGACTGAAGTCTCCCTCCCCTCAGAAGTGCTTTGAGGAGAAATTGATCAATTATTGATGGATTGTGTGATCAGTTCTTTGAAAGAAAATGATTATGACACATCATCCTCTCCCTAACAAGTATAATGGCTTTGTAACAACCACTTACAAATTTCTCTTTCAGGCCTCAGAGGCATGGACACAGCAAAATCATGGAGATAAAAAGGTTTAGAAGAATTAAATTCCATATTTGAAAATAAAGCTTTAGTATTTTTTCTAATTCTGATTCCCATTTTTCCTTCTTTTCAACTACATTCAAAGTCTTGAAACTTATTTAAGATTTAATAAGAACTGAATGTGTTCAAATTATCTGTTGATGTAAACTAAAATGCAGTCATGTTAAGTCTTTTTGTCATTCCTCAGCACTGGCAGGACATGCCAAACTATGCAATTCTTGTGGACATCCGTGATCGTCCCAGTAGTCAAGTTACCTATGTTCCAGAGGAAAATATTGAACTTATTACCAATACTAAGGTATGATAATTAGGGAATAATATATAGGCATGAGTGAGATATCGAAATAAACTTTAGAAGAGAAATTCCATATCTAGTAGCAACCATGTCTTATTTTGTTCATCATATAAACACAATAGGCCTACATTGACCAGAAAAGTCAATTTTATTAATGAATGAACAAGATAGGATCTGCAATCCTTGAAAAAAAGTTGTTGAGTGCTTGGATGATAAGGCTCAAGATGAAAAATGCATTGAATCGTTACAAAGACAAACAATGGGCATAATTCAATTCTCAAAACAAATTCTCAGTTATTGACTATCAAAATTAGCCTGTGTCAAATCTTCTAGTTGTTTAATTTCATTTGCAGCCATGAGAAATGCCATGACCAAAGCATGGTAGCTTTTGGTTTCTCTTTTTGTATTTTGTTTTTTTTCCACTTTGAGGAAAGTTTGAACATCACTGTCTGTAAGTGATACAAAATATTCAGTATTGTTAGTAGCCATAATCCAAGAAAATTTTGACAATCAACCTTGGACTGAGAATAGTGAAGGACCTGCCAGAGTGACACAAAAGGCTAGTGATGTGTCATCAGCTGATTGGCGATATCAAACACATAAAAAATTATTGTATATTACTTTTGTGTTGTTACAGCCTTTCTCAGGGCTGGGATTCCTTGTGAAACATGACAGTTTATATAATAAATACATAATTAATCATTATGTATGGATCAATTACCCATTACTTCTGATCAACTGGCACTTTACACAAAGATACAACTTGTCTCCCTTGGACAGGATGCCAGTCCATCGCAAGGTTACCCCCCCTAATTTAGCAGAGTCTCAAACCTTGACCTCTCTGTGCAGAGTCCAGCTCACTTACCATCAGGGTACCTCATCTCCCACACATTGATGCCTAAGCCTTGATACCCATATGGCTGGACCTTATTCCAGTTTCATTAGCACAAAGAAACTAAGAGGACAGTTACTTCCCTTCTAAAAGGATGCTTGTCAAGGCTAGGTTTCACTTAAGCATTTGGATACATTTCCTCATAAGTTTGCCACTACCCAGTCACAAATGTGTGTGGAGACATTCTGAGTGAATAGTGTCTTGCCCATGAAAACCACACAATGGGTTCTGCCAGAGCTTGAGTTTGGACTTGTAATGTAGCGTGCAGAGCAATAACTGTTTTTGTCTGTTATTAATGGTTTTCTTGATATGTAAAATTTCAGATTGTTCACTCAACACTAGAGGAATACTTTGGTGAATTTGATGGTGCACGCTATTTACCAAGACCCTGGCTCAAAAAAGTTTACCCTCATGGATAAATAATTGCCTGTGGGATATGTCTTATCACCAGGCCTCAGTTATTTGAAGCTAAAATAACACTATCCACTGGATAAATCTCTATCTGCTGGATAACGCACTATGTCAAGCTATCACTTATCTGCCAGATAGCGATTTATCCTTTGGATAGTGATAGCATTATACAAATATGTATTAGTACTTGTTCAAAAAGGTTTAGAAGGAGATGGAAAAATTACCTTGTAGTCTAAAGTTTGTTGAATCCATACGACAAAAACAAGTCAGTTTTGATACGACCATGTGCAGTGAATTTTGCACAATAAATTTCTATTTCCCCCTGTGTTATATTTAATGAAATTGAGTATGTATGCTGTTTCTAGCTCTTTGTAATTTATTAAGCAGTTCAGTTCTTGACTGCTGTGTTTTAATATTTCAAAGAGAAGAGTTTTCTGTCAGTTGCATTCTTAGTGTAATGAGTTTAGCAGGTTTTGGTCATAAGGTTGGGTGAGTCACAAAACTAATCATGCCATCATTTGTATTTTGTATATAAAAGAGTAGATATGAGGGTTCCAATTAAAAAAATGGAGGGAAAGAAATGGTGTCCTGTTTCTCTAGTCTATTGTAACCTATTGTAGCCTTTTAGCTGTCTACTCAAGGATGACCAGCCAAAATATGTTTATTTTTCGTGTGGGAGTGCAAGTCAGTGAAACCCACCAATCATTCACTGTCCTTTTTTTTTGCCAAGTTTGGTGCTCCCACCAAAGGAAGACACCTGGCTTTAGGTTAGCTCATTCAAAGATGGACTGACCTACTAACTAAGCTGCAAAAGTCTGACTCTAAGTGAAAGTGAAATAGTGACGCGTACATCAGGGTACATACTGTATTATATAATAAGCTCAGTTATGCACGCGTTTTGATTGGTTCTCACTTATGATCTATTGGAGGACAGACGTATAGATGACGTCAGCATTAAAACTTTTTTTAATTCTTTATTATATAAAACAAATAGATTCCAAGTTGCCATGTGTCTGTTCAGTAGTAGATCACAGAGGATGTCAAAATGTGGTAGGAACAAAAAAGTGGCACACGAGGCGCAGCCGAGTGTGTCACTGATGTTCTTACCACATTTTGACATCATCTGTGATCTATTACTGAACAGATGCACGGCAAATTGGAATCTATTTGTTAATTATATACCTACATCAGTTACCAGCCAACTTAATTAGTCCCCAGGCTACCATGATTTAGGATGGACAGACTGGCCTGGGTACAAATCTATCAATCAAATATTTAATTACAGTCACTGGTACTGTTGTGGTTGTTTCCGACTGTTTTGGCGCTTTCCAAAACTGTTTATGCGTTATTTTACCTTTGGCTACACTTCGAAGTTCACTATGGCACGGAAACGAGCACTAGCAACCGAGGTCGAGGAAAGCAAGCCGAGTAAAAGACAGAAAACTGCTAGTAAATCAAAGGGAACTGCAGAACATGGAGAGGGTTCATCGAGGAAAAGAAACGTCGATTCGGTCCCAAAACGAGACAAACATGGTAAACTAGTATTCCCTGATTTTCCAGACTTTAAGCCAAACTTGACTCCCAAAGAAGTTCTTCAGACTGGAAGCTTTGGAGGAACATACTTCCGACCCATTTATTCCAGCGTCACAGGTGAAATATAATTAAAATGAAGCTTATTTTTAATAGTCTAAAATTGAGATTTTTGTGGCTACTGCCACTTTTGGGAGGCGAAGCTATATATGTTATCGAAATGAGTGAGGAGGTGATGGTAAGTAACAATAGAATAGCGAACTTCACCCGATTTTGATCTGATATCAGTCATTGTTTGTTTCGAAGTTTCTTCGTAAATGGAATTTCAATGAAATTATCTTTAATTAAGACGCAAAATTAAAAGAAGCATAGCTTAATCATCATTGTAACAAAGTTTGCATACAACACACGCTGTCTTTGTTTGAAAGAGCATGCTCTATCAGAGTACAAAATATAGAGCTAAGCTAAAGCTGTCACGCTATCCGCTGAATTGTACTACTTGTATGACCTACTCTGACCATTTCCTGGACTCCTCTATAGTTTTTTGTTTTCGTTAATTGAAAGTGAATTTTTGGAACAAGCGATTTGGTACGTAGCAACAGAAGAACCTAACAAAGGTTTGTAAATATGCCAAGCACCTTAATTTACGTTATTATAAGGTGAGCAGAGACAAAAATCCTCAAAGAGAAAACAAAATGGACAGTCCAAGTTTTAAAGTGTTCCTCACTCAGTTAGATTGCAAGCTTACATAAGGTAATAAAAATTAAACATAGTTAACACTTGTATGGTGTATATAGTTTCGTGTTCAAAAACAAAACGGAGCAAAACAGGAATTATGAAAAATATATAGCCAAACTGGCACAACCATTAAAATTCACACCAATCATGACGTGTCAGAGCAACTGTGATCATACTGAGGTTCATTGTGGTTAGCTCATCATGGCGAAGTGAAGCAAGCCTCAGAAATTACATCGGCCACCCTTCAAGTGAACAACTAAGAGCTTGCACTGATATCCTTGTGGATGCATTGAGTGGAAGGCCATGTCAGTCAAATTGTATAGTGTTGTCATTCTGAGCAATCTTTGTTCTGTTGTAAGCACTGAGGAAGCATATATTGTGTATTATGTTATAGAATGGAGTTAAACCTCAGGTTTGTTTTGAAAATTTAATTAGAACAAGAGTTCCTTCATACTGGCTTTCAGTTTCCCCTTTCTTCACACCCAACTAGCTCTTATAAGAAGCTTAAAATGTGTCAATATTTAACAATTATTCAACAAATTGGAGGTGAATAGAGCAAAGTATTCCACAACTTTCATTGACTGTGAGACCATCATATAACTTCTCCCACCAGCAAACATTAACCTATTTTTCTTTGGTGTCTGCTTATTGGAATAATTCTTGTAGGTGGACAGTTTTACTTAAGGACACTTTTTCAAATTCCCAAGGGTTCAAAGAGAGTTGACCGCATTTTCAATGCTTATTGCTGCAGATTGCCTGTAAAGTAAACAAATTAAGTTGGGTAATTTTGTTTTATAAGCAATAAAGAAAACAAAAGTGATGCTCTATGTAAGAGAGAGCCTTGGAGCATCTGTGAAGTTTGAAATCATTACAATCCCCTCTAAAAAAAAATTCCCAAGTGATTTAGCTTTTGAAAGTAAAGTGGGGATTTTGGGGTGGTGTACCTTAAAACACCCAGTGTTTTGTGGGATTCAGTTCAATCATCAGGATTAAAGAAAAATAATATTTGCTAAAGTATTTCTTACATTTTTGTTTTCAAACATTATTTAATCAGGTCAGAAATATTCCTCTGATGTTTACAAAGAATTTCCTTCTGAATGGTTTCAAGGACTTAACATCAAAAGACAGGTGACATCATCTGTCTATCATAATGAAGTAAACACATACAAGGTGAAATGTGGGGGCAGTTTAGAAATGTGGGAATCATCTGGCTGGATTAACAAACAAGATCCATATGGCTGGTTTCAGTGGTGAGTTTAACTAGGCAAGGTATTATTTGTTACTCAGGTAATAATTGAGATACCTGTGCTCTAATTGGTCCAGGAATTTGTCATATCTTGCCATAATCACCTCTCGAGAGGTAATTTTATTACCAGTGTATATTATTTCATAAGAAGATTGAAATATTTATTATTCTTATTACCAAGTTTTCCCCCAACAATGCTTTTGACAATGCCTGGGTCACTATAGAGTTCTCAGTAACAGAGACATAGAGGGGGAATCTTGAGATCTTGGGATTGATTCCTCATGTTCAATGAATAACAAATGGCAAGAGAAGTGAAGAGTATGCATGGCAAGTTTTTTCTTCTGTCCTTACCAGAATAAGACCTACTGATAATGCAAAAACAATTCTGAATTTGTTTCCTTGGTAGGTATTGTAGATTTTACCTTGGGCGGCGCACAGAAGATGATAGACGACAGGTTGACCGATGGAAAAACTGTACTGGAGATAAGGGTCGTTGGCGAAATAACCTCATTTCCAAATGTGTTCGAAGTGGTTGTGCTTATGATAACTTTGCTGTGTCACCTGTTGTAAGACAAACTCTTCAACACTGGGCCTATAAACTGAACAAGGAAGACTTTGATAAATATGCTAAGAAAGTAAAAATATAAGAACAAATCACACAAGTGGGTGTCAACTATGTTGGCCTTGTCAATTCTTGTATGGCACGTGAGAGAGAAGTGTATAGTTCTTTTATTGCAGGTTTTTACAATCAATATAAAATTGGTACAAATTTTGGATTATTGTTTGAGATTGTACATACTGTCCCTGGAAAAAAAAGGAAAGAGTCTCATTTTTATACATTCAGTTATGAGTCACCCCATTAAGTCATTCAAAGTCTGACCACAAACTGTCGCCCCTTCCATTTGCACTTGGTTGATTTCCTGTAACTCTTGTTTGGCTTGCTCACTGGACAATGATTGTAGAGAATATAGAAAAGGTCTTTAAACAGACTGCATGGTCATGGAAAAGTAACTTTCTTTTCACACTGCTTAGTGTGTGCCCATGTGCACTACAATTTTATTGTAACTTTTACATTTACTTTTAAATGATAAATATCCTATCCTTTCAATCTTAACATTGATTCTCATTGCTGGAAGCGAACATTATCCAATGCAGTAACCTCAGGACTATTATTGCTATTATTGCTGTTATTATTATTATTATTATTATTATTATTGTCATCATTTTTTCTCTTAACATGCCATTGTTATTTTTCTTTTGAGCTATCAAATAGATCTTAAATCATGTTTACCACAAAGGAGTAAAATCTACCACAGCTATCAGTCTCTTTCCTTGTAATCCTTCAATAGATTTAACAGAACAGTAGACAAATATATGGTGTTCAAGACAATTTACAGTGCCAGCATGAGAACAATAAAAATGACTTGATAGATGAGTTATTTCCAAAGCGGAAGGCTGAGAACACCAATAAATCGAAACTTTTTGCAACCTCTGTGTTCAATGATTGTCCTATGATTCGAATACCAAGATTGTTTTCTTTAGTTATTTTGGAATCAACATTTCTTACACCTTACATTCACCGCTTTCATGGAAAATCTACCCCTGTGATTGCCAGCCTTCCTGAGTAGGAGAGAGACCGTGAGTTGCTAAACGTAGTGATTAGACTTCTGTTTAAAATGGGATTTGAAAAGGAACCATAAGCACAGACCTTCTGTGTCTGTTCTGTGTCTACTCTTAAATAAAACTTGGTTCTACGGAAGTCAAAACCGGAGATGCAAACATGTTCGCCTTTGTTTCCTAATGGCAGATGACGTGAAAACAACACGATGTGAGTACGTTTCTATAGTAACAGGAGATAGTGAGTACGCGCGTGAGTTCGCGAAATTCGCGATATGTAGCGCAGAGAACAACATGGGTTCAGCTGGTAGTTGTAGTAGAGGTGAGTTTTCTGGGCTCATACTTTCCTCATTTAAAGCAGGGAAATGATCGTAGCTATTCTTTCATCACAGGTGAAGTCATTCAGAACGAAATACCTACGTTCAAGGTTGTTCTTGTCGGTAAGTTTTGCACATTCAATTCGATCTTTTGATGAGGGGCTGATACGTGTAGCTCCCTGAGTGTGTTGTTCGATAGTTTTAAAGCGAAGGCTTGCAAACTTTATGCTTCTCTTCGCGAGAGATGTGGTACCAGATACAAATAGATAAGGTCGTTTTAAAACCAATAACTTTTTCAGCAAATTTACTGAATATACAAGCTCACGACCAATGTTTATCGCAATACAATTATGCGACGCTATTTACTCAAAACAGATTTCACATTATATTGAATTGTCTTGTTGATAAAGCAAGGATTACGTAAATGGGGAATGTTTTTCGATGATCAGATGGGGAAACGTTACTTTCCTTTAAGAACTTGTGCTTTTTTGCTCTGTTTATCGAGTTAAATGTTAGGGCTTGCACGGAATTTTTCCGATTGGAAACGCAACCGTATTTGGAAGTCTGAAATTTTCGTTGACAAACATGACAATTTTCTTTCATTCGACTTCTATCATATATCAAGAGGTGAAGACCTTTGTGGAAACTTTCGCTTTTTTAAAAAAAAAAACCGAAACTGTTTATAGCAACGGACATCGAAGAGTCTCGGTATACCACACTGAACATGATCGATATTGAGTGGGAAGTGCTAAGTACTAACAGGAAAGTAATTAGTGCCAGGGAAGGTATTATTTTTCTTATTACAAGGAAATTAGATCGTAGGGCTCTTTAAAGTGATGAAAATTTTACAGCAAATAATCTATGACAGTCTGTCAAAATGGCGCGAGACTACACCATTTGATATAAATTTGGAGATTATGGATTGAGATACGACATAGTGCAGCATATTACCGGTAATAACTCTTACTCGGCTCTCATAATTCGGATGGAAAGGTTCTTATTAAGTAGCGTTCCCCTCTTGACTCTGGATTTAAAGGTACTGGTGTATGACCCGTGGAATGTTTATTGAGTTTTTTCATCATGACAGCCAAATCAATTGTCTTGCGAATATTGCTTTTCTTCACCAAAGACTTTACTATATATAGCCGGGAGACTGTAGAATTTGGGTCAAACTCAAGCCGGAACTAGCATGTTTGAGCTGATTTCTTTGCAGTAAACACAATGTGGGTAGCACATCTCTCTGTCTAGTAAAGTAAAATAAAAGTAAATTTTTTTTGTGATTGATTTAAGGTGACCCTGAAGTTGGAAAATCCAGTATATTTTTACGCTACACAAAAAACCAGTTTGACTACAGTTATCAGCCGAGTGTCTCTGTGAGTATTGGAAATATTGTCAAGCATGTCAACGTCCCATTTGAGACCATTGTGTCTGTGGCATTATGGGACCTTCCTGGGCGAGAGGAAATGGACTTGCGAAGAAGCTATTACAAGGATGTGGATGCTGCTATTGGTAAGAAGTACAACTCAGGGCCCAGTTATATGGTCTTGGGTAACCAACACAACCCTCTCATGAGTTTGAAAATTCAACCAACCATTTGTATAGGTAATAGCATGATTTCCAGTGAAATTTGGTGTTAATAAGCAGGAATATATTTTTTCAAAGACAATAAAATTGCAATCTGTAGTCTTTAAAAATTTAAAATTGCTTATTACACCAAGTTGCAGGAGAATTAAATCATGTTATTACTTGTTAATACTTAACGTGAAAAAAAGCATCACAGAAAGTCAGGACAGACAAAATTTTAAAAGCATGCACAAGCTATTTCTAATTTGCACTTGTGTTAGAACTTTGCATTTGTGTTATATGAGATTTCACTCGTTTTCAGCCAATCATAAGTGCATAATTTTTTCATGTACAATGTTAACATGAAAACAATGAACTTGTCTTGAGGGGTAAGGGGATTTAACCCTTTCACTCCCAAGATCTGATTAGTAATTCTCCTTACTACCTGCCATACAATTCTTATGATGTTAGTTCAAAGAATTTGGTATTGGATCAACTAATAATCCCATGATTGATATTCTTCTCTATTCTCATCACTTGCCTGCTTGATATTGTATTCATATTGTAAGGAGAAATTCTGTCCTGGTCACTTGTGGGAGGGAAAGGGTTAAGAGGGCAAGTTGTTTCACCTTAGCAGGTAGGATAACCCCTCAGGTCTGTCAACTTTTCCTCATATAAACACTTTGGCTTGCATGCCTGAGATGTGACAGCTCAAATTGTGTCCAATATTTAAACTGGCTAGCTGTTACAAGAGAGACTGGTAAGGGAAAAGCTGTTACAATTCACAACTCCATGTAAAAATCTCCATGGAGTTGTCTTGAGGGGAGGGTTGTGATAAAATATAATTAGGGTAATTTTTATTGTTCCCTTGTTCCTTTGTTAGAGGTTACTATGCCATAGATGATTTTGATTATTTAGTTTAAAAAAATCAGAATATTTCACATTACATTTGAATTCCTCAGTAGATTAAAAATGGGTCAATAAATCATCATGATGGTAAATTTCCTTATTTGTACTGTGCAGTTATATATGATATGCAGTCATTTTAAATTAAAATTTGAGAGTTCTCTCTTCCATTTAGTTGTTGTTGACATGGATGACATTGACTCTGTGACTATGGCTGGAACCTGGAAACAAGACATTGTAAATAATGCAGTATTTACAGCCAATAATGGAAATATAAAGGAAAACATTGCAGATTCTAAACTGATACCAATTCTACTTTTGGGGAACAAGATGGATAAGGTAGACTATTAGTAAGACTCATTAAATAAAGGGGTGAGTCTCCAAAGAAACTGTGGTGCTGTGTCAGTAACAGAGTATAAAAGGTAATTTAGTATTATCAACAGAGTTGATAATGTAAATTGGCCAGTGTAAAGAATTTCAAAATTAAAGTTTCGAGTGAACAACAAAGGGTTAACACCTGAAATGTCAGCCTTGAAACTCTTTACAGTGGCCATTTTATGTTGTCAACTCACTTGATGATGCTGAATTACCTTTAGATTCATTATTGAGTTTTGTGCAGAGGTTTATTTATACTTTCAAAGAACTGGTAGTCATGTTCTTGCTATACTAGGGAGATTCACAAAGATATCACCATTCTTAGTAAATATATTGTAGTTCAAAATGTAATATGTTTGAAGCCAGTTTGATTTTTCTTTTTCTTTGACTTGTATTCATTATTTTAGATCGTAATCTAAAACACAGGGGAAAAAATTTTAAACTGGCTTGAAAAGTTTTTAAATAAGGAAAACTTTAAACTGAAGCTGATGCCAACCAAGCCTCATTTTGCTTGAAGGAAAATGAGTAAACTTTTAAAAATTGTTCTCAAGTTTCAAAGACTTGCAACATAATTTTGCAGCTCAAATATCACAAGACTGAAGAGGAAAGAAATGATGATGATGATGAGATGTCTTACTTAGAAACAGTGCGAGTACTGGAGGGTGTGGCATTACAACATGGCTTTGTTGGAAGGTAACTGTTGGGTATTTAACTACTCTTGAGACACCCCTGCCCCCAGTCTTTGTGGAATTTTTGTCTTTTTTATCCTGACCAATTCCTAATTCCCTTTAAATTTATTGTTATCATGAAATTGTCCTCAACCCCTTGTTAGGAGTTTTTTTTAAAATTATTATTATTATTTAGAGGAGGATGTCAGACACTGCCATTAGAGCATGCTACTAATACTTTTTTCTTTCCTAAATTATGATCAGCTTAATTAGCACTCCAAACAATTACATTGACAATGATTTTAATTTGATTTTTTTAAGCTTGCCTGTGTTATCAACTGAAAAATACCTTTTACAATACCCTTCATGTTTTCCACTTAGATATTTCATGCAGGGCACAAAATAACAGCAAGCTGCCAGTGGCAGCTGGAACTTTTAGCACACCTGCCAGCGATTTTTCACCAAAGAACTAGAATTTTGCAAAAGATATTATGCTTATTGATCGTCCAACTGAAGTAAGAGTTGCTGTCATGTTATGGGGAACATTTCATATCAGGCAATAAAGCAGCTAAGAAATGTTTTAAAAGCTTTTTAGAAACGTAAACGAGTATAGAGTTTCAAAATTTGAAGCGTGCTACAAGGGGTATTTTTGTTTACAATACCCTTCACGTTTTCCACTTAGATATTTCATGCAGGGCTCAAAATAACAGCAAGTTGCCAGTGGCAGCTGGAACTTTTAGCACACCTGCCAGCAATTTTTCACCAAAGAACTAGAATTTTGCAAAAGATATTATGCTTATTGATCGTCCAACTGAAGTAAGAGTTGCTGTCATGTTATGGGGAACATTTCATATCAGGCAATAAAGCAGCTAAGAAATGTTTTAAAAGCTTTTTAGAAACATAAACGAGTATAGAGTTTCAAAATTTGAAGTGTGCTACACGGGGTATTTTTGTTTACAGTATTCAGCTATCTACATATTTGCTCAAGCGTGCAACATGCAAGTTTGTGTACACACCATCACATGACTGTGTTTATGTTTCTACATGTACGTACTACCTTTAATCAAGATTTACGTTCTGCCAAATCCTGTTTAATGTCATTTGTAAAGCCTTCTCCAGCGTTCAAGTCAAAGTTGGTGCTTGACAGAACAGATTTCCCATGGCTGTGCATGGAGAAGCATGACAGTTTGTCTTTATAGACAAAGTTGTATATTTCACTTTTGAACAAACTCTGAAAAATTGAGCCATTCACTATGCCTTGTTGGAAAAGGAATTGCTGCAACAAAACATGTTTGTCAAATAAAGATTCTGATCACAGTGACACTTGTGACATGCAATGATTAATTAATTAATAATTTGCTTCATCAGTTCTAATAGCAAACTTGTAAATTGTTTTCACTTATCAAAAGAAGTTAAAAACTAATTCATATTTCTGGCAATCAGTTTTAATCTAAAAACTGGCCTCTGTGATACTGGTGCAGCGCTCTACCAATTGAGCTAACAAGCCAACTTAGAGCTGGTCATTATGTTGGTTCCAAATAAACTGTGAAGTGGTGAATAAACAACTGTGAATATATTTGAACAGTGGACTTAGCTCAGTTGGTAGAGCACTACACTGGTATCGCAGAGGTCATGGGTTTAAATCCTGTACAGGCCTGAATTTTTTTCAGACCTTATTTTCACCACTGCTCAAGTAGATTGCTTTCATATTCCTGTCTTTGTCTGCAGTTCAAATATATGACTTTCATATATTCACAGTTGTTTTAGCTCATTTATTATTGATAGCCGGGAAAAAAAAGGAGCCTTGACAAAAGCATACAAATTCACGCTAAAAGCTGAAAAGTTATTTTGAATCCTGTTATGTAATATTAAATAAGACTTGATAAGTAGATGATGTATAATTTGTCTTCATCCTTTGTCTGTTAGCTCTGATCTAAGGGCGAATATTCTTAATTGTAGTGTTTGTTCTCCAGTGTTACAGTGTCAGCCAAAGAGAGTGATAACAGCGTACATGCTGCAATCCAGTCGCTAATACGACATCTGTTGCAACAGAAAATGAAGAAAAAGAAACTTACTTCAAAGGGTGGGAAACTCAGCAAGAATGATCTGGAACTTGAAGAGAAAAACTATGTAACCATAAGTCCTTTGGAAATTTCAGAGAAAAAGGAGTTTATTCCACTTATTGTTACCAAAGTGCCTGAGGTAAATGAGTCGCTATCCTCTTTCAGTCAAGGGTTTAAAGTTCTCATTGTTCACTTTGCTAATATCTGATTTTATTTGTTTCATACAGTTTGATGTGTTCTTTGCTGAGTGTAATAACCCAATTGAGACTGTTCAGAACACGAGTACAGGACTACTTGATGCCATGAACAATTTTAAGAGAGCTTGTAGTAGGGCAGGTGTTACTAGCAGTGCAAAGGCAAGTCTTGAAGAGTGTATAGATGGACTGAAGCAGTTGATAAGGACAGATGATGATGAAGATGCATTGGAGGTTAGCTTGGATAGTTTGTGATATCTAACTTCCAAATTCTTCTTTATTACAACTAGAGATTGAGATTAATAGCCTGAAGCATTTGGCATAAGACAACAATTGTGGTGAAGAGTCCTCATTAAGACACTTCTGATAAGCAAAAGCATGCATAAATAGTGTGTCACTTTTGCCATGGAGTTCCTTTTTCTTTCTCCCCAACATTGTCTATTATAATAAAGATCTTTGATGGAAAAGATTATAAGCTATGTCAATTTTCCTTGTCAAGGTTCTTCATTATATACACTTGTTGAAAAAAGTGATAAGCATTCTAATGCACTGTGCCTTTGGTATGTGTTTGGAAGGTGTCACTTTCAAGGACTTTGAATTAAGATTTTCCAATATTAAAGATTCATATATGGCATGGTTTGGATGCATTGTGATGCAATAGTCATCTGATATATTGAAGATACGATTTTTGTTCAGTTCACCTCTGGCCTTGCCAGCTAATTTTTTTCCAGTGAATATATTGCTGACAATTCCCCACATTATTGATGTCCATGTATCAGTCATCCTTGAAGTACTTTTTACCTTTCCTCTCCAGGCACATGAAGATGGAGGGTACATAAAGTTGTTAGTGAAAGAAGAAGTGAAAGAGCGTGTCAGTGGCCCAGTACAGAGAGTTTTGAACTCATTCCACTCAGAGGTAAGAACTTTTGTTCAGTATTTTATTATCAGCAAAATTTATTTAAATGCAATTAAAATAACTTTACTGATTTCTCAACAGAGGGCCCTTTAAGGCATCTATTTTCTCATTACAATATCACCCCTGGATCCAACATTAAGGTCATGAGAACAAAGGAAATGATCACAACCAAAGAAGCTCTTGATTGTTAAACAGATTCTCCTTGTTAGGACCTTTGGAAATATATCAAGAACAGTATGGAGAATATGCATATTGATGTTAGTGTTTAAAGGGTTAATTAAGGAAGGGGGCTTAATATGGAGGGAGTAACAATGTTTAGAGGAAACTAGGTCATTTTGAACTTTTCAACAATTTTTACAAATGGTCTGACATGTTACTCAGTTCATTTTTATTTTGTACAGCTGCATGTTACCATTAGATAGTTGGTAATAAGGGATAGTGGTGGGACTTTCATTCAGAAAATGCCATTTCTTCTTCTTCCTCACAATCATTGACCTTAATATATTTTTCTTTGCTTTCTGGCAGGTTGGTGCTGCTTCGAAAAAAGTTTTAGTTCAGTGTCCAGGTGCTTTAAACAGCCTTCGTGAAAATGAAGATAAAATAAATGAACTAAAAGCTACAGCGTTTGAGCGTGCTACAGCTCGAGGGATGACACAGAGGAGGGCTAAGGCAGCAGTCTGCAATATTGACGCTAACTGCACCAGAATAGGAGAAGCTGTGGCTACAGCAATGGAAACCATGACAGCTGTTGATAATGACTATAAAAAGATTAAGGCAGCTATGTTGTGGTAGCTAGGTACCAGCAGTATTTTTATTTACGAGCATTTTTATGAGACAGTAATCCAGCAATGGCTAGCTATGGGACCACACCCACACTGGAATTAGATTATTCGAGAAGACTCCTTTATCTTGTAAGAGTGTACCTCTCTGGAAGCTTGAGTTACAATGACACCCCTTTTGTAACAGGCACCTCACCTTCATAAACCAAACCCTTTCAGTGGGTCTCTACAACTTAACACTCCTTTGCATGAACACCTCTCTCAGGACACCTGTTCTGGCTAGGGCTTGATTTCCATTGCTCTGTCTCAGCTGGTCTTCAAGTAGAGGATAAATATTAGTTCATTTTCCAAATTGGAAAGAGTTGATTACATAACTATTTAATAAAATCAATATAATGTCTAGCAACCCCAGGTCACCCCAATGTCTTTCTATGATATTTAGTACAAAATTTTCAATTTTTAAAAGAAGTTGAGAACATATTTCGTGCAATCATTCAGGGCCATAGTAAATATTGTAAGGAACAAGGAGGGAGTTTTGAAAAGGCTTTATGCAAAAAGATCCTCTAGACCATGAAAAAAAAAATGTTGAAAGTATTAGAGTTTTTATTTATCAGGAAGGGTTGTGGTGTTTTTTAGTCAAGTTCCTCATACCAAGGTATATATATATAGTATGGAATCTCTTTTGATATTCCAACAAACAAACAAAAACAAGGGGAAAATATTTATACTATAGAAACATGAGTCCAGGAAAGGACTTTAACAATAATCTGTTCTTCCCAGTTTCTCCTAATTTATACCACTTGTTGTATTATTTCTCCTAACTTATTATTACATTATTATTTGTATTCTCATTATTTCACAAAACTTGAATGATGCACCAAGTTGATGATTAACTTGCTCAAAATAACAGCAGATTGGCCAATTAACCTTTTACACCTTAACATCAGTTTGTATATTCTCAATACTGTTCTCCATGCACTTCCTTTAGTACTGACAATGAGAATTTGTTTAACAATCACAATATATATATATACATACATGAATGTGGGAGTAGAGTCTACCTTGGCATAAAGTGCTTAATGCTGTGGTAGCAGAGCTAAGTATAGATAAGTTAAAGAATTAAAGAGGACGCATCGATTCTTTGTGTTTCTCTGAATTTCCTGAGTTTCGGGCAGAAAACTCAGAGTCACAGAGAATCGATGCGTCCTCTTTAATTCTTTAACTTATATATATATATATATATATTTTTTTTTTACTGTGCAATCATTTCCTTTTTCTCATATCACCCTTATGCTTGATTCAGAAGTGAAACTGTAGGGAGAAAGTAGATGGTAGTTACTGTTAGGGGTCTAAAGGTTTACTTTATGCTGATAATCAACTATGTGTTTCACTTGCCCCTTTGATGAAACAGGTCATTGTGCAAAGCAATGTTTTTTGCCAAAATCTGATTTAAATTGAATGTTGTGGTACGCATTGTACATAGCAGCCAAGTTTTTTCATCAGATAATTTATGTAGTTTACCTAACAGTTGTAAATACATTTTGCACACTTTTTAAGACACCTTAAAATCTTATTTTAAGTATAAAGTATTTATTTTTCTAGACCAGTGCTGGTTAGAGACTATTGTAAATAATTCATGCTGTTGTTAAAAGCATCATTTGATCAGCCAAATAAATTTTAGCTTATAATACAAATGATCTTCTTGTGGAATTAGGGAATCAATGGTCTCTAATTTAAATGGAATTAAAGCTTCTTCAAAGGCTAGGACTCAGCTTGTTGGGGAGCACGTATCCATTTACGTATCCTCTCACCATCAAAATCTTGGTAATGTTCATGAGGCGTACATGACATATCTAAGTTTAGGCCAGCGAGGAGGCTGGAACCTAATATTTGAGCGCGGTTTTCAAAGTAAAACGTTTGGTTGTGGGATTGTTTAGTAGTACTCATCACATTTGATCTGTCTTGGATTTTATTCCTGCAATGAGGCGAACAACCCTAGGCCCTCTTAACATAGGAAATCAGAGCAGACCGGTCGCTCGGGAGAAGAAAACTTCTCTTGGATCGAGAGCTTCAATAGGAAATAGGACATCACTCGGTAGACCTTCGACTTCGGGGAGACCTTCGCTCGCTGGTGCAAGATCATCAGCGACTGGAAGGTAGGAAAACGTCGTAAACCCAAAAGGTTTCGCCCCATCTTTTAACGTTATTATGATTCGCTGCTTTTGTATCAACTGCCTATTACATGTTTTGCGCGGAAATAATGTCTTAATTTGGTATAACTTTCTGTATTTTTTTCCTTCTAATGCAGTTGAATCTAAATAATGTCAACACTTCTACTGAAAGCTTAAATCAACTGAAGCTTGATCTTTTTATGCTTATTTTGTAGTTCTAATAGATCTTTAATCTTTCAGGAGACCATCTAGCCAATATGGGAGAGAAAACTGTGTTCAGATGAAAGATCCGCGGCCCCTCTCCGACAGAGGTGCATGAAGCCTTCTCTAATTTCATTTTTTTTCTCTATCCTCTATCAGGCCTTTTTTCGTTATTTCTCTTCGGTTCACTTCAAGACTTACATTTTTCAGAGTCCATAAACTTTTTCTAGGTCTTCATGATCACAGTAAAACTGCATCAATTGTTGTTTATGGTTTTATATTTTGAAAGAACGACCTATACTTTTTATCAGAACAGCCAAATATTTAAACTAGGTTCAAAGCTTGAAACCTACTTTTTGCATTTTCATCCCAGGATACCAGCAAAAAATGATTAGATATCTTATGGAGGTATGTGCAGTATTATATTTTTAATTTGCAAAGTATATAGGGTTGAACCGGATGGCTAATTAATTCTCCTGCAATCACTCTTACCTTCACATCTCAAAAACCTGAGCCAGTCCACAGGGTTGCGATTTTCCGTGATCTCAGCTCATCTCTTGCAAAATGATATAACTTCGGATGCTTTCTCAGAAATTATCATGACTTAAACAAATAATCTCTAAACCTGTTCAGCTGATGTGTTCATCCCCCTAAAGACCCTTGCAAGACTGTCAACACATAAGGATATTTTTTTTTTCTGTTAAATTCACCCATTGTTATTTACAACATTTGTGAGCCTGTAATCGATTGTAACTACATTAAGTTTTATGTCAGTAATTAAATTTTCACTAGTCTTGCAGAGTTAATGAATAATGCTACCATTATTAACTTAGTTCCTGACAGAGTTTCATTATCCACATCAAATTTCCATGAGAATTCTGAGTGCTCCTTCTACAAAAGAGTTCTGCAACATTTTCCAGGTAATGTAAACACTGTAGTTTACAAAAAAGCTAGACACTTTAAGCTTGCATCTACCACAGTGATTTCATGTATTTTTGGCCTGTTCTTCCTTATGGTAATTGTCAGAAACTTAGTATTTTTTATAAGTCCTCACAAACCTATTCCTCAACTGCATGTATCAACAATTCTCTGTTAATTAGAAAAAAAGTACAAATTGACACTCCCAAGAGTATGTTATGCTATCTGTGTTTACATTATTTTGTTGTTTTCAACAAGAGAAATTTGAATGTAACCTCTGAGAGATTATAGGAGTCCTTAATTTTTTTACTCTAAATGTGAGGTCTATTTTGCACAGTTTCTTTACAAGTACATAAAGGCAGACACTCAAAAAAACACTTCACTGGAATCCAAACCAGCAGAGGAGATCCCAAGGATTTTCAAGATGTTAGGGTATGTTGAGAAAGCTAAGATTAAGGAAGAATTTTCTTTGTTTCCTAGTCAGGGTTCTTATTACACAATCAGTGAAAATGATTGTATCAATTATTTATATATATTCCAAATTTACCTCCATAATTTTTTTTTTGTTCCTCAGTTATCCATTTACAATTTCAAAGAGTAACCTGCACTCTGTTGGAAGTCCTCATGCTTGGCCCATGGTACTCGGTGCACTATGCTGGCTTATTGAACTTATCAAGGTTAATTATTGTTAAATTATACTGAATTTGATGCATTTTGCTATAGTTAATGATTGCCGGAAAATTACAGCTGTCACAATGTCATGACCAATGACAGCTTGTGGCTTTACATACAGAGAGACAAATGATTTGATTTTTTTTGTACTTGTAATTAAATATAACAGCATGCCATGAGTGTTGGTCAGGATATTGAAGGCCATGTTCTGTTCCCTGAGGACAATTACAGAGCTGGTGAAGAATACCAAGATGGGCCACAACCTGAAGACAAGGTAAGTCATGAATAAAGCCACCGTTAGTTAGACTGGGTGACATATGTTAAGTCTGAGAGTCATCCTGAAAAGAACTGCGGTGCATGATTTGAACCCAGGAGTAAAAGTGTATGATATAGTCAGATCATCTGAGTGCAAGTAGTCTTGAAAAGGCTGCTGTCACTGATATCATTAGTGACTGAATACTTAATGACCTCATGGCTGCTAGGATTTTTTTCTTTTCTTGGGAGAATGGTGCTCTTTCTTTCTTCTTCAGGCCTTTTTTTTCTTTTTCCCTTTTATCAGGGACTTTCTTCTGCTTTTGATTTTCCCATGAGCAAAGATTTTTCTTTAGGCGAAGATTTTTCTATAAGTCAGACAAAAGGCTAACACTTGAAAAGTCAGCCTTTAAACTCTTTACGGTGGCCAATTTACATTTTCAAGTCAGTTGATAACACTAAATTACCCTATAATTCCAGTACTTTTTTAGGTATTTGGAGAAGAGTTATGCTGCTTTCATGATGGGGACAGAACTTGATGAACTGGGAGAATTTGACAATGAGTTTATTGATAGCATAAGTAAGTTTAATGTTTGGGTGTGAAAATTTTCACAATACAGAAATGTTCCTAATTTGAAGTTTCTCAATCACCAGTCTTGAGAATTTTAGAGTTGACTTAACTTAACTTTTGGTCACATTTACTTTGTTTTCAGGATCAAGAAATGCTGTTCTGCTTGAAGGTAAATAGATTTTCTTAGATTCAAAAATTTAGTACAAAGGTTCATGAAAATCTACTAAACACCAATAATTCAGCAAGTTAACAACCACACTGCAGCTTCTATTGACAACAACCTTCAGACTAACTGTAGCCAGCTGTGAGAAGTGTTGATCTCATTTTTTATTTCAAACATGTAAACTTGTAGCAGTGGTCAGTGAATATATTATTTTATTTAACTTGGTTCACTGTTGGGTAAACAGTGATGAGATTACGAATAATCATCAGCATGAAAAATAAGTTTTCACATTTTAGAAGAGTAAGATAAACCTTTTACATTCATTTGCTTTCAGGAAATGAAGACCTGATGAGAGATAACCTAATGCTAGAGGAAGAATTGAATGCCCTGAAAAATGATTCTGTGAGCACTTACCAGAAAAATTGTGTCATCTCATGTTATTAGTTGATATGGATATTTATCTTTTCCAAAATGAGAAATCTGTACTGAATTAATAAAATTGTTGAGTTAAATCACAGCAAAAGTTTTTCAGATGAGAGAAGTTCTTGAGCTAGGAAGCAGACTGAAGTCAAAGAGGAATAAAAAATCAGTTTTAAAAAGAGACACTTCTTTGTACAAAACAAGGGAAAGTGAACAAGATTTTTTTTTCCTTTCCTTTCAAATGTCCTCTGAGCTTTGCTATTGACTTTTTGAATTTTAAAATATCAGTGAAAGGTAACATGTATAGAATGTACTAATAGTTGTTTGTTTTCTTGCTTTGTAGTCACGTCTCCAAACGTTAGCTGAAAGAAAGATAACATTAACTTCTGACAAGTAAGATTTGCACTGAATTAAGTATAAATTTAACATGTACCTTCATTAATACTTGTTCTCTGGATCATGTGTTGTAAACAGGTTGAATATATTACAACCTCCTGGTCATCTGTAATCATTACTGACTGTCAACAATTTCCTGTGCTTATCCTGTAGGGAAAAGTTTCAGAACTACCTAGGAGACTTGGGGAAGAGTACAAAACAGTTGGAGGAAAAGAATGACCAGCTTGTCGAGGAACTAAGAGGACTAAGTAATATATACCTCTTAATAACTGAGTTTGAGATTCATACTCTAAGTTACAGACAGGGTTAATTTTTGCTTGAATTTATGGCCCAACCCAAAGCATGTGTGTCCGCACAGGAAACATAAAGTTCCGTAGCTCAAAGTACAGACCTCAAACTCAATTTGGAAGAGGTTAGAAGGAAATTTTTTCAAATCTCTGAGTTCAATAAGAAGGAGAAGATTCAATTTCAAACAAACCTTTGAATGTAGCAGGCTGTACTGTGAAATACAGCCTGCTAAATTGACCAATCAAGTACAAGTATTTATTTCCTTATAGTTACAGTATTTGAATCCTTTTAACTTTCTATTAAGTTACAAATTAATATAATATTTTTTGTTGTATCTGCAGAAGTGGAACAAGATGCCATCACCCAAGAAAATGCACGGCTTCAGGTAAATATATGTTACAAGGCTTTGTTGTTGTCGATGTGTGGTATTTCTTGAATGTAACTCTGACCTTGTGAAGTGCAAACATTGTTACTCAACACCCACCCAAGAGGAAACATACTAACCACTACCTTGTAAGCTCAATAGAGACAGTATCTTACTGCAGTGTGAAAGGGCAAAGTTTCAAGTGTCTGACAGGCCCTATACACCTGAGATTCTATGCGGGTCTTTAAAAATCATGAAGCATTTTCTGACCTAATGCTTGGGCATTGTTGAGTCTTCTTGGATGTGGATGATGCACTGAAGACCAAATTTTCCAGAGAGAAGGAGGTTCTTTTATCACCATAGGAGAAATCCCATTACATATATGTGCTGTGCTCCAATAATACCTTTTTCTGTGTGCCACTGAGTTTAGCCATCTCCCTTCCTTGCTAATTAACCCTTTAAATCCTGAGAGTGACCAGCATCTAATTTCTCCATAATAATTTCTCCATTCATAAAATCATGAGCATAAAGGAAATGATTATTACATGTAATTTGAGAAGCTTTGATTGTTAAATAAACTCTCCTTGTCAGTACCAAGGAATTATACAGAGAAGGGTATGGAAAATACATGGCTATTGAAAATGTGGTGTAAAGAATTAAACTTATTAATTCAAACCTTAATTTTAAACAAAGTATGCATATCTTTTCATTCATTTTCTAATCATTACTTTTTTATATTGCAGCAAACTCTGAACAACCAGGAGCTGAGTTCTGCAGATGTTGAAAGAATGAAGCATGAGAAAAAAGAACTACAGAAGGCCATTGAACAACAAGAAAGGGAAAGAGATTATTTTAACCAGCAGATCTGGGAAAAAGAGATGCAATTTGCGAAAAAACATGAAGAGGTTAGCTAGCAACAGGGCATTCAATTTGGAATCTGTCGCTGACTGTAATACTGTCTTACCATAAGGAGTTTGTTTTGTCACTAGTGTAAAAGATAAAACAGAAAGCCTGAATCTTTTTTCACCAACTTTTGGCATCCATTTTAGACTGAGAAGCATGTACGAGAATATAACGAAATGGCAAGGAACTTGAAATTGATTCCACCCTCAGCAGAAAATGCAAATGGTATTGACTTTGAGATGCACTTCAATCCACACTCACAAAGACCTGATCAGAGAGCTCACATGGACTTTAAGGGAACCATAAAGGTATGTATGCCCTAATAACATAATACAGTGTGACTGTAACCTATTTGCTGAATTTCCTGAAGTGGCACATTTTGCCATAAGTTATCTCGGATTCATCAACAGGGGGTAACTATTGAGTTGGGGAACTTTTTTGTCTGGGGAGTGCATCAGTGTAACAGCACAAGAGTTGGCTGTTGGGAAAATGGAAACAAAGAGCTCCATTTTTTGTGACTGCTGTCTCTCATGCTGTGACACTGTTTTGCTCCCCCCCAAAATAAAAATGTATTACACACATAAGTGCATCATTGGTATCACCTCCATGTCTCATTTGTTACATGATGGAAAACATTCAGCTGAGTTCTAAATGTGAAACAACAATTTCATTACATGTTGTATTATTCAACAGCCTGCCCTTCTTCATCTCAAACAACAAATCAGTGAGAAGAGTCGTACCACTCAGTCTCAGGTCATCACTGAAGAGGAAGCATTTGATCAGGTAGAAATTTATGACTGGTTACATACGAAAACTAGATTGAAGGAACTTGAGTTACTTGATGTAGAGGGGGAGAACTAATAAAAAACGTTTTACAGTCTGTCTCTTCATTATGGTCAAGATGATGGATGTTAAGGTATCCAGGGCCCTCTGGGTACCAGCCTTACAGCTGATTGGGCCACCATGGTAACATAGAGTTTGCCTTACCTTACCATAAATGAATGTGTTTAAAAATCATTGGTCTAACCATTTAGAGTGTTTATCAATTGATAGCTTGACACCTCATTTGAAAGTAACTCTGAATAAACAATAGTCCTTCAAGTCAAACAGGCTTGTATTCTGCAATTTTTCCTTGCTGCACTTTTAGTACATTTAACCATTTAATGTGCTCTTGAATTATAAATGTACTTGGTGCACCCTAAAAATGCGGAGTTTTCGTCAACACTGGAGACACTGAAAACAATCAGTCATTACTTTTGTCCAAGGCCAGGTTGCTCAAAGCTAGGTTAAGATGAACCAGGGTAAGTGTGAGATCTGATTTCAGATCTAAAAGCTTTAATGAATATAAAATGTATAATTCTTTTTGTCTACAATTTGTTGATTGGATGTTGTGAAAAGAATGAAGAAAGTCATCCCTAAAGGTTTTTGGACAAAGGAATAAAGAAACCCAGATTAAAATTTAACCTTGGGTTAGTGCTAATCAGCCTTTAAACAACTAGACCTGAGTGTTCACAACCCTAATTAGATGCTGTGTTATTTAAGATAAGTGAGATGGTGGCAGACAAACAAGAAGAGGTGACAGCTCTGGAGAGCAAACTGCAAGTACTGGACAAGGAGTTAGATTGGAAAAAGGAGGTATTGCAGCAACTGTGAAGTTAACTGATTTGAACAAGAATAACATCCTGAATTTGAGAAAACTGCATTACGCTTGAAAGTTGTTGGGTAGTACTATAGAATGAAATGTTGTAAGAAGCAAAAATTTAGAAAGAGAGCTTCTCTTTTGGTAACAGAATATAAATGTTTGGTCTAACAGTAGGTGCTAAAATTGAAATTAACCATCATGTTTATTTTAAGAGAAGATCCAATTACTGAGCACAAGTAGAGAGCCTTGAGAAGCATAGTAGAGAGCATAACTGGACAGACATTGCTCCCCCCCCAAATTTCAAGGAAAATTATGATAAATTTTCCTCAGCCTTAAGACTATGTTCAAACTAACACCATCAGCATCTACTTGTCAAGGATGCTACCCCTTTCAGACTTTGATTGGTATTAATTTTTTGGTCATTTATGATGGTTTTGCCTAATTTGCATAGATCATGGCAAAAGAGTACCAGAAAACCACTGGAGCTTCACAGGGTTTGGAGGAAAGTGTCCAACAGATGAGAGAGAAGGTGTTAGAATCTGAGGAGGCAGTGGAAGACAAAGAAAGCACCCTGAAGGAAATAAAACTCAGGTTACAACATAGCAAAATAGCATCTGTACCACAAACAAATGAACATGAACATGAAACAGATACTGCATTGAGGTTGATGGACCTTTACCAGATCAATATTCACAGATGATGATGATGATGAAAATAATGTCTAACTTGTAAAATTTACTACCAGTAGTGTCAAGCATGCTGTGACAAAAAAATGTTTGATCTCTATTAACTGTTTATCACCCAGAGTGGAGCAAAGTGTTGTTGAGCGACAGAAGGAGAAAGAAGAATATTCAGATTTTATACTGAAGGCAAGTCATATGATCATGGAACACAAGACTCTTATTCAGGTAAGGTTGTTATATAGTTTTACCCATCTACTTTCATTACTAAATTGCAGGTTGGGCAAATGAGGGGAGCTGAAAGTGACAATGTCCTTCCCTATGACAAGTTCTCAACTTGTAGTTCATGCAGACTGTTATTTTCCAATGCTTTAGTGAAACAACATAAGTAGAGAATTTTTTTCCTCACATTCTTCTGGGGCTTTTTAATTTGCCTTGTCATGCACCTCAGGCAAGTGGTTTTTTTGGGTTGTTTTTGGAGTTTTGTCCATTAGTGACCTAAAACCTACTAAAAAAGATTTCAAGTTATATGGTGTTATCACATATATCTCCTCTTATGTCTAGAAATGCATGCAGTAATGAAATGACAAATTTGATGAACTTTCGTCAAACCGAGTGAATGTTTATGGATTTGACAATTTTGGTGAATTTAAGTCAAATTTGTCAAAGTGAAAACAGAAGGACAGGATTGACAATTTTAACGAATTTTAGTAAAATTTGTCAAAGTGAAATCAGGTCAGTGGATTTGACAAGTTTGTTAAATTTTCACCAATTTTGTTACTGCATACATTTCTGGACATACCTTGGTGCAATGGTTGGTCTATGTACAAGCCTTGCTGATCTCAAGCTTTGTATGATGTGACTGTGTGGAGTTTTGTTGAGTTTTCTGGAAAGGTCTGTGCGGCAGAGCTACCAGTATGGTGTGTGGAAGTTCACTTTAAAGGGAGAATGAATCACTTTGACTAGTTCGTTGCAAGTTAATAAGTTTGGAGCCATTTGTCAAAGCTCATCCTTGATGCATCAGCCTCCCCAGGCCAATTTGTACTAATAAGTCAGAGTATTTTGCTTAGCAGAGTGAATTGACAACAAATTGTAACCTTATTCATTACATAACCAGTTGACTGTTTACAAACAGCAAACAAGTGTGCTGAGTTTTTTTTGCTGTTATCAGCCTCTTATTGTTAAATTGTTGTAATTTTTAATTACAGAATCGAACACATGAGCTTCTGAAGCAAGCAGAAGAAATTTATGAGCAAACAAAACAGCTTGAGATTCCTAAAACATCCATACATATTCCACAGGAAAATGGGGAAGAAAATTAAAATACTAGCAGAGCAAGAGTTTTTTTCTGGTACTGTAATTTGAGTTTCTAGTAATTCATGTCTGAGGCATTGTATTATAGAAACTTTTTAGTTAACAGCACATTTTCCTAAAATTTATAAATAAGTGAACAATTAACTCAGAGTACTTTTAGTTGCTAGGGAAAACAAAGTATAAATGCTTTTCTGAGTCCCCCCTCCAGGTATTACTCGGCTTTTCCAAGACAAAGCTGTAAAGTGGAATTTTAAACTGCCCTGATCTTCTTGCACAAGGAGGTGTAAATGGTTGTCTGATTTGAATTGTTATTTATTGGAACAGAGAAGTGTTTTGGGGTAAAATGCAATATTTGAGAGTTTGTAATTGTTCATGCAAGTTTGTAAGGAAAGTTTTTTTTCAATCCATGTAAACTAGATATTGTCTTGCCAGTACATATCATCCTCTTGTTTAACACAGTCTTTTATATTTATAGTGCAGTTCTAAATGTGACTAAGTATCAGACATCAAATTGAGAATTTATGATGAACAGTGTATGTTACCTACTAAAGGAATAAAAACCCTCTTTGTGAGTTGCACTTTTGTGTAATTCTGTTAATCTTGGTGATCTTTCTTTTTTACTTAAATGCTCATTCTAACTCATTCATTTTTTTCCCAAAACATCAGTGAAGAGCAATTGCATAGTTGAGGGACAAAATTCATCTTTCCCTCTACTTTGTGAACTCCAGAAACAGGCCCATGTTTAATCGTGATGGTAGAGCTCCATTCTCATTGACATTGCGCAGTCAGATCACTTGTAGATTTTCCTCCCTCACAGGTTTGACATTGAGTCCTTAACTCAACTACCACTGGTTGAGAATAATATCACTGGTTTAATATCTGTGGCTTGAATGATGTTTATACTCATGCGAAGAATGTCTGCTCTTGTGGCCTTCAGAATGTTTATGTTTCTCTTGATAGTGCTTTGAATTCCTGTCTTTGTGTCTTGGAGAATGATCCCTATCAAAAAATTTATCAACCAAGGAAAGTTTACATCTGTTGCTAGGGCTACCATCTTTTGTAATAAAAGTGTTGCTGCCATGGATCGATGGCCAGCAAAAATCACTAAAACAAAGTCACAGCTGCTACACTGTTAAAATAGTGAAAATCAGTTTAAAATGATTACTAGTAAAAAGGGGAAAAAACTTAAATAATTTAATCAAGTAGATTGTAAAAAAGTAACAATAGATACCTGTCTCTTCTGTTTTTGTGATCTCTTGACTTTTCTTCAAGTTGTGCCGCATGTTTCTCCTCAGAATGCTGATAAAATAAGGACACATCTGCGCTTTGCATCAATATGATGATTACAAATAACCTCTCTCCATCATTTCTGCTATTTTAATTACATGTACAACCTTCTTGATTGACTTACTAAAATGAGTTGAAATGTGGGTAAAAACTTGCAGCAGGGGTCATAGGTGGGAGAGTATTGACCCCCTCATGTTCTGGCTGGGATTACAAGGAGAGAGGGTGACAAAAAAGAGGTTCCAAGACTGCAGCAGCCTGTTGTTAACATTATGGCATCCTTTTGATCTCTTAAAAATTGTTACACTTCTCTCACCTTATGACTTCTTGAGAATTCATCTCCATGTTTCTTTTTCTTTTTAATTCTCTCCATGTTATCATCACTGTTGCTGGGGCTCCTTCTTCTTTCCTGTTTATCTCTCTTCCTTCTGTCCCTTGGACTATCATCACTGCTGTAACTTTGTTTCCTTTCTGGCCTTCTGTCCCTTTCCTTTCCGCCATGTTTCCTCTCTTGTTTGTTATCTTCGTTGTCATTATCACTGTGCCTTGATGTTCTTTCTTTTTCAATTCTGGACTTGGAAAAATCTTTATCCTTGTTGCTTCTTTCTTTTTGTCCTTTCTGTTTACTCCCAGATTTTCTATCACTGTGGTCATCATCAAATACCAAATCATAGCTTCAATCAAGGAGTCAAGGAAAAATAAACTTCCCAGAAAAAGCACCCACCCTTTTGGCCATAATTTCAAACAGGCACCCCCCACCCCCCCAAAATAACCCCCCCCCTTCCTTCTACCCCACTCTCTTATAAATAGTAGGGATAAAAGCAAAACCTGTTTCTGTTGCCACTTTTTTCACAACTTTTTAGGCTTCAACTACAGCAGAATCAGAGCAGGAGAATAATAAGCACCCTCCTCCCAATAAGTGCTCTCTCTCCCCCCTTTTAGAGGGAGGAGAAAGTGCACTCTCTCTCCCCCGGGCACTTTTTCAAGGAAATACAGTATATTTAAAAATAAATTTAAACTTAGTTTGTAAGCAGAGCTGATAAGGATACTTTGAAGACTGCTTTTGTCCCTTGATGGCAAATTTAGGTTTGTCCTTTTCACTTTTGTCTGGGAAGACTGGTTTAGCACCTGTGTTGAAGAGGAAAGAAAGAAAGGCAAAGCTGTAGACAAATGATGTTTCACTTGCTTGATATTGTTTATCACACATTTCTTATAATTTTAGCTCGAAGAATTTTATGCCAAATCATACAAATATAACCTTTGGTTGATATTGCTTTAGCTTTCTTCTTTTTTCCTTTATGCTTAAAAATGCATAGATTAAATGTGAGGAGAAATTAATTTTTGGTCATTCTTGGAAGTTAAAGAGTTGAACAATAAAATACACTCAGGATTGCATAGTTGCATTTTCACACTCCAGTATTGCCATTTCACTAAAAGGCAGACGATTTAATGAAAAAATTACCTTGCTTTTGCATCTGGACTTTAGCCACTGATTGTGAAAAATCAACATGGATTCGCCGATCATCAATAAGCACATTATCCATTTTAAAATAAGCTCGTTCGCAGTCTTCTACCTAAATAAAAATATTCTCAGGTTGTTCATTATTATTACTGCTTACCATAATGTAATACCTAGAAGTGATTGGCAAATGACATCTTTTTGCAGTTTCATAAAATTATCCAGAAAACAGGAATTAAGACCAGACAAATTTTCCACCTGAGGAATGTTACCCTCAGCTGATAAAAAAATTTATCAAAAGTTTTCAAAGTATGGGGAGATGTTATATAACAAGATTGAAGAATTGTTGATCATGTCTTGGCAGACATAAGGGTCAAAATTTCTAAACAATAACCTTAAGTAAGCCAATGCACTGTAACTCATCAAATTCTTGAGCACCATGGAAGTATCATCTGAAGGTAACAAGCACTTACATTCTCAAACTCAATGAATGCATACTGTAAAGATTCTCCAGTCTTCTGATCACGTATGACTTCACAACTGAAATAAAACAAACAAAGTAAAGACACCAGTACACTTGCAAAAGAACACTACTACTCCTGGCAAACATAGCTCCAGCTGATTTAGAACAGTCTAATTAACTCCTAAACTTCTATTACTGACCAAAACAGAATTTCTCCTTATAAGATCAATACAAAATCTAGCAGACAAGTTATGAGAATAAAGAAAAATATCAATTAAAGGATTATTAGTTGATCCAATACCAAGTTCTCCAGACTAACATCATAAGATTGTATGGCAGACAGTATGGAGAACCACTCAATCATGAGATCTTAGGAGTGAAAGGGTTAAACCATAGCAGTCTACTCAAGGAGTTCACAGCAAACCATACCTTTTAATTGGACCAAATCTTGAGAAAATGATCTCCAGGTCTTGATCCTGAGTGACAGGATTCAATTTGCAAACAAACAAGACATTTTCTGGGGGTGCCATGTCTGCATCTGGAAGATCACCAACCTGACAAAAAATTTAAACTACAATAACCATAATTTTATAGAACAAGGTAACAGGCTAAATCTGAGGCCAGAGGTTTGTAGATATCAAAGGAAATTTAGCTTAACCCATTACACCCTAACATCAGTATGTATATTCTCCAAACTGCTCTCCATACATATCCTAAGGTGCTGACAAGGAGAATTTGTTTAACAATCAAGAGTTGGTGGTCATTTCCTTTATTCTCATGACCTTAATGTTTGATTCAGGGGTGATATTGTAAGGAGAAATTAGATGCTAGTCATTCTTTGGGATAAAGGGTTAAATTACAAGCTTGTAATATAAATAATCCAATAGCATACAGTTTGAAAGTGAGACAAATATTTGTGACAAAGAATGCAAGCCTAAATTAAATTTAAACACAGTATGCCTTGCAGTTCTCTCAGATGTGCACAACAAACAGATCAGGTAAACAGTAACTAAATGATATTTAAGCATTCACAATGAGACTTGCCCTTTTGAAAATAGATCAGACTGATAAGTGATAGTTTGTTGTAGCATTAATACATGATCACAGTTATTTTTTCCTGTGAACACACCTGATAGCTACATCAATTTTGGTTGTCCTTTTTACCAAAGCAGTGATCATGCAATTTTCACTGATGGTTTAATGAATCATGAACAACCACAACCAAAGCAATAAAGTTCAAAGACCAGAGGCAAGGATATTAATAACTTTTTCCACATGCCGATGGTGTGTTAGGAGGCTATACCAGAAAAGGGTCACAAGGCAACACCCAAACACAAGAGCCTGCCAGCTGCCAGAACAGACTGTGATAAGAGGTCCTATGGGCAACAGTTGACTACCAGTAATTGGCTTTTATTGAAATCATCACCTGAGGACTGATCCCTGTGAGCAGTTCATAATATGTAAAAGGCTCTTTACTGGTAAAATTACCATTTCAAGAATTTGTGTCCCAGCTTTAAGCTCTCGTTCCTCTATCATCTCATCAATTTCCTCCATGGTTTTACCTTTGGTGTCATCAATTTCTTCATCAGCTCCGATACGGCCACTCTGAAAATAAACAACTTTCAGTCTACACAGAGATCAATGCAAAGCAATCTGTTCCAAACCATTTTTGTTCTACTGAAAATCATGTTCTTACTCAAAATAATGTCATTGTCCAATTTCACCATTTAAATTAAGTGTAGTTGTAGATTCTTTAAATATGATATAATAATAGTTTTAAGATAAGATACTATTTAGCTTGCACAGACTACATAAACAAGTAAATGAGCCAAAAAAAAGTCAAAGTTTTCACTTACGTCAAGCTGTTCTTTGGTTGGTTCTGGTGATCGATCTGGTACAACTAAGCCAGCTGGATCATCATATGGATCATCAATGATAACTGTGTGGTTTATTCTGTGTTATTAAAATCTGAATCACTGGATAATACAATTCAAGAGTTTTTATTGGCTTAGCCAACATGGGTTATGAGCCATTATACCATGTGGGTGCATGAAGACAAGTTAAACTGAAATTTAGTGTTTTTGTACATTGTAACATCCTGTTTGTTCTCACAAAATACAGTTGAGTAGATTTATCCATACTTTGGGCATTTTTAATAAAACAATTATTCCACTCACACTTGTTGGATATGAGATGATTACAGCCAACTTGTGTCATCATTTTATATAAATTACAACTTTTTTTTTTAGAATAAAAGTGCAGAACAGAGATCATAAAGAAAATATTTAAACCAGCAACTGAGTGAGTTGAAAGCAGTCCCTGAGAGGAAAAAGATGCAGAAGATCCCATAAAAATTCCTTAATTAAAAAGACCCTGATCAAATTCCTTGTTCATTCATTTATCAAGTTCATTTTGAATTCTTATTTGAAAGGAATGTATTTGCCAATTTGTGCATCACTTTATATAAATTATTGTCAAAATTTAACAATCATCATGATAAAAGCATTACTGGTACTTAAATTTAGAAAAGATCTCTCTGGTTTCAATTACACATGACTTCTTTGGACTATGAGTAGTACAGATGATATTTTTTGATGGAAAAAAAAATAAAACCAATATAAAACTGACATGATTGAATACATGCCTGATGTCTTGGTATGGCCTGTGTTCATCATCACAAATTGCTTCATTCAGTTTGTCCAAGACTTCAAATCCTTCAACAACTTCAGCAAATACAGTATGAACACCATCTAGATAGTCCAAATCATCTCCAAGGGTGATGAAAAACTGTTGGAAAATAAATAAGTTCAGATCTGAGCATGCAAGTTGGATGATATAGTGGCATCTCTCTTTTAAGACATCTTGTCCCAGAGGACACTTTTTCAGGTCCTGGGTGCGCAATTAAAATTATATTAGTAGGAAAGAAAATTAATTCTCATTACCAGCAAACTATAAACTGAAGATAACCTGACCAAATTTCAGATGATCACCTATAATAAATAGACTGTCAAATATCCCTTCAAAGTGGTGCAAATATACTCCTTGTTGCTGCATGCAACAGCATGTGAAAATATGTGACAGCAGGAATGGTTCACTTGGCCTTTATGACTTTATTGTCCATTGTGTGTCACTTTTCACATTCAACTCCCCTATCTAACACCACTCATGATGGCCAATCAGATGCCCCTAGAGCACTTCAACTTACTTGAGAACCATGTAAGTTGTCTCCATTGTTTGCCATAGAGACAGTCCCTCTTGATTTATGTTTGAGGCGAGGTTTAGTTTCTGCTTCAAAGAATTTGGCTTGATCTCCATACAAGGACCTAGAGAACATGAGATAAGCAATTAGGAAAAAAAGTAGCACAATTGTGAGAGTTTATTTACCCTATTTTGAAACAGCAGTCGCTATATGGTTTCCCACATTCATTGACCTAATAGAGACAATTGGATTTGACTCAATATTCTTGAGATTGTCTTCAAATGTGATATCATCAAGATGATTTTTTTTAATTTACAGAACTGGAACATTCACAGTGAAGGGCAATACATTATTGTTTGTTTCATCGACTTCAATGTCAGTAATGGGCATCAGCATCATGCAACCATTGACACAAGCTGCACCCCCCCCCCCCCCATGTTCTCAAGCAGCAGAACATTTCCTTGTAAAATTAGAAGATGAAAATTTTCCATGGCCTTCAAATATACACTATAAACCTAAGAGTTTTATGCAAAAAAAAACCTATGTCCCTCATTCTTGCAAATTTAAAAAGTTTGCATGTACCTGAACACAGATTCCCCTCCATTGCCACGACCTGTAGGGTCTCCAGTCTGAGCAAGAAAGTTTTGCTACATGTAAGAAAAAAAAAGTTAAATGAGCCACTCAAACATACACAGACAGTTTGACTTTTTCTTTGTCTATCGTGCGTGTTAGAGATGAATTATCCCCTTACCTGGATAGAATGAAACAAGCAGTAGTTGTAATACTTTATCTTGCACAACTTCAAAAAGTTGAGACATGCTGAAGAAAGAAGGTAACAATGCCCGTGTCATAATCGAGTTTTAGGTATGAGTGTCTTTAAGATACGCTTAAGAACCAACGCTAGCTCAATGGTGCTATGACTTCCTACAAACTTTGTAATCAATTTAGAGAATCTTCGATTAAATAAACCTTGCTAATCAACAACTTCCTTTTTACATTACGAACAACTTCAATCTGCGGAACATAAAACGGTCATTTCCAGTAGAGTATTTAAGTAACAATCAAGAAACAGCACTTTTTACACATTCATGCCGCCTTGCAGAATAAATTTCAACTAACCTCGAGGTCTTTCGGACGTAAAAAGATCGATTATAATATCTCCTATTGTTGTCTCAAGAATAACCGACATTTCTCAACATGAAGACCTTCAAAAACCCCTCAAATAACTATCACGACTAAAAAGGCTTATAGTTTCTAATTCGGGGCTCAGAAAGCCAATAATCGCCCTAAACTTTAGGGCAAAATGCCCAGACAGCTACGTTGAAAAACCGTCATTGAAGCCGCCATCTTGGTTTTTGTGTTGATTCACAAAAAGATCTGGGTACTATGTCAACGAACATGCGGCTTACATAGAGTAGATACAGAAGAGCGGGAGATTTCGATGCTGAAAAACAAGATGACTTCTTGTAACGAGTTTTTTAATCGTCTCCGAAAGCTTGCTTTCTCGGTGGATAGGGAGACTAACGGATTAAAAGAGGCCTTAGAGAATTCTGAAGTATCTACCTATGATGAAAATCGAGCCTGTCTGTTACTACGTGAAACTTTAGCGGAAGTTAAGGATCTGAAGGTAATATAACTCTGGGTAACTCCTTCCAAAAATTATACATCGTGATCGCGTCGGAAATGTGGAAGATTATTTTCAAATCCGCTTCTAAGTGATAAACAAAGAAAAGTACAGTAAAATTTCCGCACAGCTCCATACTACAGTAAAACAAATCTGTTTTCCCAGTGGAAATGTATTTTTTTTGTCATTGTTTTCTCTATCCAAGAACTGGATGCATAATGTAGTATGGGGCTGTGCGGAAATTTTACCCAAGATCTATTTTGTGGACTGTGAAAACAACATACGGAAACTGTTTCTTTTATTTTTCTTTTCTTATTTTCTCATCTGTGCAGAAAGAAATTAACGCTAAAATTGAAGATTCACACCAGCAATGTACATTTGAAGAGTTCATCTCAGCCTGTTCAAGGATCGTAAGTCAGACGAAAGAACAGATAAATGAACTTGAGGATCACTTGGTGAAATATGGATATACCAAATCCATGGGTAAGTCATTTAAAATAGAGGCAACATCATTAAATTTCCCAACTAGCTATAGGTAGAGGCTCACCGGAAATGTGTTCTTTCAGGAAATTTACCTGATCTGACCAAAGTTGGCACAAGTCTTCCTGGAGGCAATGGAAGGTGAGCCAAGTGGGAAGGACTTTAACAGATTACATTTATTGTTAAGTAATAACACCTTTTCACTGCCTTGCTTGGATTCAGTTTAAAAGTAAGTGTTCAGTGACCCTCCCCACCCCTGCCCTTAGCCCCCCTCCCCCCATAAATAAAAATTTTGTTGAAGAGACCATGCTTTTTTTGGTTCATGATTGCTTAACAGACACTAAATTTTCTGATTCAGTGTTGCTATGGATACTGCTGTAAGCTCTGAGCAATCTGATAGTGGAGATGATGTGACATTTGAGAAAACTTCAGATACTGAGGAGAGTATTCCCATGGAAACAAACCAGCCTGATCAGATCAGTAGCAAAGGTAGCAAATGTTGACAAGACTCAAGTAGCTGATTCTTTTTGTTCAATTCAGAACACTAAAATGCACATGAAACACTTTAACCTTTACACTTGAACTCCAGCATGCATAACTCCATGGTGTTCTCTATACACTCCCAAGGGTGTTGACAAGGAAATTTTTTGAACAATCAGAAGCTTTTTAAGTTGATCATTACCTTTATTCTCATGACCTTAATGTGAGATTCAGGGGTGATATTGTAAGGAGAAATGAGATGCCATTCACTCAAAGGTTTAAGCAGTCAAGCTAGCTTGCTTATATTCTAAAACCAGTAAAACAGACGTTAAATTCATCTCTATTCCCTGTTGTAGATGAAAACCTTTAATGACATTTTTGAAGGGAATGTGCTCTTTTCAATGTATGTATGGTATTGCTCAGATAGGCCTGAGATAGCCATTGTAAGAAATAAAAAGTGATTCTTAGTGTCTTATCTAATTATATACACCAAATTGACTTTTTACAGATAATGTTGAAGATATTCTTAAAACTCCTGAACCACCAGTGACGTTCACCAAAATGATTGAGGTCACTCCACAAAGATCACATGATACCAAGGATAAAGTACTAACAGATACAGAAATGATTTCCTGTTCAACACCTGAAGCTCCACAAACCAACACACCCATGATAAAACCAAGACTATTGGTTGAATCCACAGAATCTCCAATCAGCATCAATTCAACACCACAGGGTTTCCTTGTCCCACCACAGCCTGTCACAGTCACGCCAATGCTTAAGCACACGGACCTTGTGGCAGTAACTCCACCTGGTTTGTCAAAGGGACAAGAATATCCAGATCTACCAGCCCCACCTATCATGGGTACTCCAGGATTCAAGACAATTGTGCCCACAGGAAAGGAATCTCCTGTTGTTGGGCTTGAATTGTCCTTTAGTTTGGATAGTCTCCCACCTCCCCCTGACATTACATCTGTTCAGCTCCTGAAGCCAGGTAAGATATAAGCTGTTACGTGATTATTTTTAAGGTAAAATGTTGCCTTATTACCCACCAACTTGCTCAGATCTTGTCTCAACTCAACATTTTCTTCATAGTGTCTGTCTGTGTTGCGCATTCAAAGGAGACATAGAAGGGGAAGTCACATACCTAACTGAAGTGTAAGGGAAGCCTTGGGTACAGCTGTTAGAACCTTAATTAACTTTTTTTTAGTTTGCAGCCATTATTTATGCTTTTCACTCACTTCTGTTCCCCTCCTCACCTGAGAGTAAAGATTGCATGACAAACCTAAAGGATGTGCGGAGAGGTTCTTCCTGCCAGTAACAACCAACTGAAGAGCAAAACCAGACCATAATGCAAAACTAGGACAATTTGGGGGGAGCTCAGAGGGTTATTTCCTAATGAAACCCTTTCTAGATAATGTTGGGATATCCAAACAACATAAGATTTTCATTCTTAATTTGACAGATGACATAGCAGCTCCTATTCAAAGCAACCATTTGGCTGTATTTGTACAGCCTCTTAGTGAACAAGAGTACAGTTCCTTACCAGTGTACGTAGCCAATCAGTTTACCTTAGAATGCATCAATCAGCATCTCCATACAATAAATGGATTTTTGGCCGGTGGCAATCAAGGTAACATAAGAGGCATTAATTTTCCATTTCAACTCATTACAAAAAATGTTTTAACTTAGTAATTGGTAAAAGAATTTTTACCAATTACTAAGTCATTTGTTATAATAAGGATTGTAATGCACCAGTGACAACAAACCATAACACACCAATAACAACAAACCAGCAACACATAACCTTCCTCTTTGTCGCCTGACAAAGACTAGCAGTATAGCAGTCAAAACATCACAATCAACACACAATTGATTAGCCTGACTCTTACATTGTGAGACAAATGATTAAACATTCATTTATCTATAAAAATTCACAACAGACTGCAACAATTTCTAATGTGTTAGTAATTCTTGTAACTGTAATTACACAGCATGGTCTTAGTGGAAGCTTTATGATCAATTTATTAAATGTTTTTTTTCCTTTTTAACATGGCTGAGTCCTAAGTGGTATACATATAATGAAAACATATTATTTTCTACCAACACCATTTGCATAAGGGAAAAAAATTCAAGATTTACTCCCTGTGTCTTTAGCAAGTATTCTGTGGCAAAATAATTACTTTGGAATAATTTCTTTCCTCTGCATGTGTCTTTATTGAGTCAATCACACACTCTAGAGGGCTTTGTCCTTGATAAATAACATTTTTCAAAAACTCCCTTGATGGTTTTTAGAGGAGGGGCCTTGTTTCCTTTTGCCTTCACTGTTGAGGAAATTTTGTCAAGGAAACTTTTCCAAAAGTTTTTAGGACAATCTGGTTTTACTGTAGTGGGAATACTAATACAGACACCAGTGTAGACCCTTTTTACACACTGTTTCTTAGCCTTGGCCATAAATGTCTTAAAGTAAATATCAGGCTTTAATCTTCTCTTCCTTGATTTCAGTGCAACATGAACCTGTCATGGTTGAACAGGATCTTAGAGATTTGTTAAACTTGGGAGCAGCTACCAAGGCATTCATGTTGGTGTTGGTGAAAACAGGAAGGTTAAAGCTCACAGGGAAGAAGATCATGTTTGTGCACTCTGCATAGATCAGATTTAAGAACTAAATTATAGCCCTTATGCCTTTTCCTTAAGAATGGCTGAGAAAAGCTCATGTAAAGATACTGACTGGAAAGTTTTTTAACCAGGAACGTATCCCACAGCACTTGGATCAAAAGAGTAACCACCAGAAATCAACAATAAATGTATAAATAACTTTATTTAATGAGGGTGAACACTCTACAGTCATTAACTTACAGACTTGTAGCCCTCCCTAGATTACATGAATTGATAAGAAAGTGGCTGGGCTTGAAGAAAAATGTAATGCAAACAAAGCTTAGGGGTGCTTCCTTGTAATAATTCATAAATGGCGGTAAATGTGGTTCACACACACAACTCTGACAAAGAAACTATTATCAAACAAAGTTAGGATTCTGTGATTCACCTGCACATAAAAAAAACTTTTTCACAATCAGGGGGTTGGGTGAGGGAGGGCAGAGAAGAAAATAGACCAAAAAAACTGCAGCACCTTCTGTGGAGTTTTATGTTCAAGTGTTGGATTTGAGCATTTGATGGAAGTGCACTAAAGATCATCCAAGTTCTTTTCATTCCCATAATAATTTTTGTCTACAATGAGTATTTATGTCCTGTCAAAATGCAACTCCACTCCTTTTTACTGAACATAGATGGTTTCAGAAACAAGACAAGAACTTACAAACATGATGATTTACAGACAACAGTAAGACTTAACTTTTATATTTTACCATTCGATATAAAACAAAACATGTCACTGCCAGGTTCTGGGGAATAAACTCACAAACCCTACATTTTATTCCCCAGTGCCTTATGCAGAGGTCTGTTGTTTAACATTGAATTTTGTATTATAAACTGGGCTTTACTGATATTATTTGAGTCCAATACCTACTGTGAATCTTGTTGATAATTAAATTGATCCACAAATAGTGATTAAAATGTTTACCTTGAGAATAATGGTAAAGTCGAGTTGAAATAAATTTAATTCACATTGTCAGCCTGTTTTTTTCCTTTTAATTTTATCCTGTGGTTTTCCTTTTGTATTCAATTGTCTTTTGAGTCCTTTCATTTTCCTGGTTTGTAATTTGGAGTAATCTTGCCTTTGCATGTGTACTTTTCCTTCCTTGGTACCAAATGCATCATATGAGACATTCTTTACTTTCTTGGGCTGGAAAGGAAACAGAAATGTTAACAAACTTTCCTGACAATTTGTCAGAACCTGTTTCAGGGGTTTCAAAATGTTTTGTAGTGGACATTAGACTCTGTAAAAGTAGGTGACTGTGAAAAGATTATTAAGGGCCAAATGTTAATTATTTAAACCACATTGACCAGCAAAATATTATCAAGTAGCCAGTGGAATTCCAACAGTTGCCAGTTTGTTTTGAAACCCCCGCATTTATACTCCTGGGTGAAGAGAGACATTGTAAAGGTAAAGCATTTTGCACAAGAACACAACACATTGACCTGGCCAAGTCTGGAGCCTGAACCTCAGGACCCAAAGTCCAGTGCACTGATGTGTATCCCACACTAATTGCTCTACAAGGCAGTTAACACTGAAGTTTTGACATGTCTACTAATATACCAGTAATTTTTTACAGTGCACTCTGAATATCAGAAATTCATTCTTGATTGTATAAAAAGACACATTCCTGAAAAATGAATTGCTAGTATTGTGCATGTGCACGTGTGAATCACCATCACCAAAACATTACTAGCAAAAATGTTGCCTGGCTCACAAAGAAAATCAGTCATTTCCAAAAATTTCAAACAAAAATGTTCTTTGATTGCCTCACTTAAAAAGAGTGACCTTACCACTGTAAAAGTAACACTGACCTTAACTACTTTAGGTACTTTCGTTGCAGCCTTCATTAAGTCATCTGATGCTAAGTGTGTTCTTCTAAGAACCAGATCAAGAGAAGGACCCATCTCTTCCACCTCAATACGTGGAGTGCGACTTCCTGATTTCTTCAGCAATACTCTGAAAAACAAAATATTTACATCTTATTGAAGTCACCTTGACATAGAAAAACAGAAAACTATGAACTGATTAGTATATTGAAGAACAATACCACATCAGCATATAATTTTTTTTTAGTTCTTAGGATTGCTTGAAATTTCTGAACAAGATCTGATACTGTCAAAAAATTAAAAATAATTTTTGATGGAAATTCTGTGAAAATTGTTTGGCTGCCAGCATGTAACCAGAGGGTAATTTTATAATATTACACTAATAAATTTTCAATAAAAATGTCACTGCATAATATATATTTCAGCAATCCCACCAATTCATCAAGTCCACTAAGATCATCAGATCTGGAACAAAATTATATCTGTCAGTTTCAGTACAGATGTAGATGAAATCAGTCTCCATTACAACAAAACCATTTTCACACCTTGAATTACTTTTTCATTAGATATTATTAATATTATCACCAGAGAAGCATCCTTAAATATCTCAAACACAACTTAAAATATGCAATTGTTTAAATATTTTTTTATACCTGTAGCTTCTCAGATAAATTTTCCCATCCACTGCTGTAAATTGTAACACATGCTCAAGTCCCTGTAATCTGACTTTCTCTATTACTGGTCCTCTGTAGAAATCTGAAGATGAAAGGCAGCTGACAAATGAATGAAATGTCCACATACACTGTTTGCAGTGTCACATGTTTATTGCAGCTTCTCTTGAGTCAATACCCAAAGTAACTGACATTGGAATGAATTACTATTTCCAATTCATTTCTGTCAGGCAAAAGGTTTTGATCTGAATGTTTGGACATTCCATAACTTGACTGTTAAGTCACATTTTCTAGTCTAGAGTATCTCTTAACTCCTTCCCCGAAAAAAAAAAAAAAAAAAAGAAAAGAAAAAGAAAAGAAAAAGAAAAGAAAAAGAAAAGAAAAAGAAAAGAAAAAGAAAAGAAAAAGAAAAGAAAAAAAAAAAAAAGGAACCTTCAACGCCAAAAAGTGATTAACATGTAATTTCTCCCCATAGTATACATAAGTTATCCAGGAAACAGATAATGAGAATACTCAAATTTAGTACATAGAAGTTGTAACCTTGACCTAACACCAAATTCTCATAATTAATTTACAAGGAAATGTGTAGCAGCTAGAGGGGAGAATTAACAATCAGATCTTGGGAGTTAAAGGGTTAAGGAAAAGAACTGAACTTTAGCCTGCTAAAAAGACAAAGGGTGATATTTTACTCTTATAAAAAAAATTGTGAAGACAAAACACTTTTTAACTTGGGGTTACTAATCTGAATGCCATACGGTTACAACTAAAATTAAAATAAACAATGTTTGTAAATTATGAGAGCATAGCCTGTCACCTAAATTTTGGCCATTCAATATGGCCTCTGACTCACAAACAACATGCTTCACTATCAGCTTTGCAGTTCAGTGAAAAAAGGGGGAAACAAACCTATGAGAATACTTTTCAGGCGTTTGTAAACAACATCATTTTCAAATTCTTGTCCAGAAAATAGCAAACAAGGCTTGGTACCAACTGAACACTTTTGAATCTGAAAAGCAAGTTTAAATTCAGAACAGAAGTCTTGTGTTAACATGATACAATCCCAGATATTTTGTTTGGTGCCCCCCCTACAAGAAAGTTTTGGGTAATAAGGTATCTGACTCATGCGCTTGATATCAACAGTTCATTTTAATAACTCCCTTATATTTTCACATTTCAATGATAGACTCAACATGCATACTGAATCTTGTAGGCAACAAATAACATCCATCTTACCTTAAATTGACTTAGTGACACAAACTTGTCAATTCCTAACTCAATCATGTCCAAGATATGGCCATCAAAACAGCGACCTGAAAGGTGACAAATCCTTTGTTAAATCGAAATCATTGTGAATAAACACATCAAGGACTTATCTTGTGGTAGTTATTTTTTTTAACATTTGAATTATGGTAGATCAGTACAATGAGTTGACATAATCATTTTACTCCCAGTAGTGACCAAGACATACATTCTCCTTAAAATATTAATACAACGCCAAGCAGAATATAGCAAAATATCAATTAGGGGATTATAACTTGATCCACTACTAAATTCTCAGAATTAAAATTAATCAATCTTTGGTAGAAAGTAAGGAGAATTACTAAGAGATCTTGAGAGTGGAAGGGTTAAGATAATTAGCTTGAAATCTGATTAAATAATGAAACCTACCTATGACCAGATTGTGAGGCCTCTTCTTGGAATGAGACCCAAAGAGAAATAAGGCTGCATCATTCTTAACACTAAAGAATTCCTAAAAGATAAGTTAAGTATCCTTAGTGAACCTTTGCAAGAGAAAACATCTTGCCCTTTATCAACCCACCACCAAGCTGAGGCAGAGGCTTGGATCTTATTGACAACATATCAAGCATACCTATATCATACAAACTCTATATTATATATATACCTACAAACTCTATATTAAACCAGCTAGACTTAATTGTTACAAAAATTCTTTTTTTATTAGGATTGTCAAATTATGGAACGAGTTACCGGGTGATATAGTGGAAGCTGACAGCTTTCAGCATTTTAAATCTAAACTTAAATCGACAAAATATTGTAATGATTTTGATTTATATTTTGTCAAGCACAGGGATAACCTATATCAGTTTTATTTGTATATAATAGTTATCATCTGCTTCTGGAATAAATAAAGTATGTAAGTATGTAAGTATGTATGTAAGTATCAAAGTTATTGTAATCAAAATAATATTTTGTTTAACCATGAATATTAACAATACTTGAATATGCTACACAAAATATCTGTAATTCAACTTGGAATGGTGCAAATTTTAAATCATAGGATCTTGGACTATTAACAATCACCATACCACATCACTTTGATTTATGAGTGACCCTATGCATAAGATTTTCAAATCCCATGGCTTAAGTATAATCTTACAGATATATATCCGAGTCAAAATAATGTTTCATGGTTGTGATTTTTTTCAATCACCCATTTCAATGTAAAATATAGATTTTTATGGCAAAATGAATAAATTTTGTCTGAAATATTGAGCTCTTTCACTTTGCTTAATCTTCCCTCAAACATATAGAATGCCTAAGTATATAACATATCAGAAAAGAAAGTGTTTCTGCATTGCACTTACAAGTGAAGTGTGATCTTCAAATGGTCGCATGATATTTTTCCTGTAAACAATAAAAGTTGAAAGAAATTGATATTGCACAATAATTATTAATCAAAACAAATAACAAATAAGCCAGGACTGGCCCATGTGCCTGGTGATTTACATGGTTTCCCAAACACAAAGGAAATACTACACAAGTTACTA